CCGTTAGTGCATGCGCCATGCTACGTCATTGCTCTATCACGTACGCACAGTCGCTTCGCGCAATATAAGGTTTGCTAGCTGTGGGACGAGTGGGAAACTTACTTTGTGGACGCGCCTCGTATTTACTGAGAAAGTAAAAAACATAAAAATAACTAACAAATTGATTGTTTTTGCAGTTGGGCGGTTGCCTACATCATGGTTACCACTCAAGCAAATAAATGGTATTTCTGGATCCAGTTTTTCAAATATTTTTTTGAAGTCTGCTTCCTGCTTTTGACGAATTTCTTGCTGTCCATCTGAAAACCAAATATGTATCAACATGTCAACACTTACTCTTCATTCGGGGGCCTCTCGCTTTTAACAATATTTAAAGGTACAATTAACTTAGGCAGTAGCATATCTAGGATTTCATTTCAGCCAGTTTACTAAAAAATAAATACATAAAAATTATACTTATGACAGAAGTTCACAAAAAGTTATAAATCCTTTGAAACAGATTTATTCAGAACAATAACATGTTTTCCCCATTGTCCTTTATATTTCAAGGAACAGTTGAACCCATAAGCTGAATTCTCTCAGGGCAAGCCTCTGAAAACTGTGTATTACATAAACAATGCCACATTATTTTCACTGAATTCTCTTTTTAATTTTTATGTAAATTAAATTCCTATAATTTTAAATATTGGGGACTGATACATATTCTCCCATCACTGACAGTTTTTCACCTTACCAACAGGGAGTAATCCAAATGGATGTTGTGAACAGCAAATTAGTGATGTATATTTTTAAAAGGAACTAAATTTGAAAATGTTATTTAGTTGGATATTTATCAAAGGAAATTTTAATAATGGTTCTTACAGAAAGTGTAATTCAGAAAAACTCAGCTCAGTGACTCACATTCACAGTTTAATGGTCATATTGACCTCTTACATGCGTGCATAACCTACAATGACCATGTTACCTGCTGTAACTCATGTTCTTACCAGGAAAAGCATCACACAAGTCTCCACAAATCACAAAAAACTTCGGCCTTGGCCTCATCTGATTCACTATGGCAACTGCTCTCTCTCCTAATTCTATCTCCTTCTTCCACCCAGGTACTGGGTTCTTTTCCAGGTAACTTTGAATCATTCCCATCTGTAAATCAGCACCTTGGACAAAGTAGAATGGTCTCTTCCATTTGGTGTCAGCTGAAATGTAAAATTTACATAATACTGTACATTCTTATGTAATTACTGAAACATAGAATCTTCTATTGGCACATAACAGTCAGGCAATTTTGGTTTCCCTGTTCATCACTTCTAAGTAAGCTACAGTTAGTTATTAAAATAAACCTGAAACCCACTTTTAACATTCTTGTTCTAGTGAAGCATAGTCCTTTACAATCAGACACCCCCCTCCCCCCAACTACCACCATGACAATGGAGTGAAGATAATTCTGGTTGATAGGTCACTACTCAAGCCAGTTGCACAAAAGCTGTTCCAGGTGCAAACATGTGTTCATTCTCAAACATTACATTGCATCAAAATTGTTTGCTGTTGTTCATGAAGAGAATACCAAATAAGGCAACAGTACACTAACTGGCAACAATATTTCAGGGCACATTAAGTGTTTGTCAGTGATAAATGCTCACTGAGTGACAAACAGCTGAAATTCTGGCCATATAAATTTCAGGCAGCGGTTAGAACGCTGGCCTTGTAATCCTGGGGTCTCGGGTTCGAATTTATAACTTGTGTTGGGCAAGGCCGTGGTCTAGGCAACACGGAGTTTTCCTCCGTGGCATCCCAACAATTACTCCATTCACACACAGAAGAAGGCAAAGGCAAACCACTTCTGGATCATCTGCCAAGAACGTATATGAACAGGTCCCAGTCCGAGAAAAGGATGGAAGGATCCTGTTCATATGGACCTGTCGTCACACAGAACACTAATAATAATAAAGTAGGATACACCTGCAAGAATTCAACATTCCCAGTGGTTTCTTTTTTTATGTGTAAAGGGGTTAATGTGTAGTAGTTACAGTTCCATTTTAAATAGAACATTCTGTATTACCTGTTTTGAAGCAATCAATTTTATGGTCCTTTGCCACTATTCTGGAAGACATTTTGCTTCTCACCTTTCTGTAACAATCTGTAAACAAGTAAACATTCATGTCACATGATAAATAACAGACTAAATATATGCTCCTTTCTGATGATACAGCACTGAATTGTGGATAACAAAGAATGACTGACAAACTACTGACATAAAAGAAATGCAAAGACAAAAAAACATAGCTGAAATAAAAGTTTCAATGTTATTAAAAAGCTACAGAAGAATGGATAAATTGGACAAAAGTGGACAGGAGGATACAGAATTGGAGTATATGACATTTCAGGCTTTTACAGTGGTGAAGATAATGATGTTTTTCTAAGTTGTAATGCCATGTGGACTGTCTCCATTTTCAGGGCTGAAGATGAGGAAAATGCCAAAGTCTGAGTTGCATTTCATATGGAGTAGTTATTGTAACTGCTTATGTTTTCTTAACATATCTTACTAAACACCCCTACCACCCACTCATTCTAAAATTAACCAACATCTGTTGAGTTTCAGAGATTAAATTTAAGCAAAAAAGTAAAAGTAAAGCTGTCTCTCTATATGCCCTGTAAGCTCTTGGGGGAAGAGAAGGTACTCCTGCTCATTCTTAACTTTGGCACTAGATAGGGGTGAGTGGTCAGCTGCATGCCCTGGCAGCTCTTTACCCCTGAGGAAAGGAACCCCCAGTACCAACTGGACAGGATGCAGAGGCTAGAGAAAAATCCTCTGCCCCTGCCAGGAATTGAACCCGTCATAGACATTCACTATACTGATGATTAAAAAGAACAATATAACATTCTCCATTATATTTTAAGCACTTTATGTCAGATGATCACATGAAAGCAAAATTAAACATATATTTATTACAAGAAAGGCAGTGAATTATACACAAATTGGATGTACATTATACAGAATTAATGATACATAAATGTTAAAATATATTGAAACAATAAATCAGACACCAAAATACTTTAATAAATTACTTACAAAACAGAATTATCAAATTCTAGTGGTTTTTAATATAATCTTTAGGACTTAATTCTGTTTAAAATTAAGCAAGAGATGTCTCGAAATTGTATCATCTTATTTCATTTGGTGAAGTAAAATTAGTTTAGCTTACGAGCGGGTAAACTGCATTCTGCATGTTCATTCGCTTTATATTTACAATTTGGTAGCCAATATCGTTAAGATGATTTGTATTTGGGCTAGTGCCGGTAAAAAAAGTAGTTTCAATGATATGTTAACAGGGTTAGGTAGTTTAGAATTATCGTCTGGTCTAGTAACTGTAAATACAAGAAAACTCATATTCAATGACAGATTACAGTCTCACTGTATGTAAAATATAAAAGGAATATGGCTTCGATCAATCGTATGAAAGAACCTGTAATTAAAACAGCATTAACTATACACTGCCTACACATATTGTAAAAACTTACTTTTTAAACGTATCTATGCTACTAAAATAACCAGAATGAACTAAAAATTTGATCCGCTTTATTAAATTAATTTTCCGGCATTAAGAACTGCTTCTTTGGCGAAAACAAAAATAAAATTTCAAACACCTGTACGCAATTACTATCAAGATCCAAGAAATAACCACTGTGAACCTGTACTCGAAACTCTCTGGGCATGTGTGATTGCGTGGCATGAGGGTATGACGTCACGGCTGGACCAATTTTCATGAAATTTATGTACATTACGTTATTTTAGGCTAATATAAATTATTACTTTTTTGTTCCCAACAGTTGGTCATGCGAGAATGGCTGTATTCTGGGTTGTATGGCTGTTTAGTCAGGTGGATGTCTACCAACGTTTCAGAGGTCATTGCTGCCTCCATCATCAGGGCGATAACTTAGCCCTGCTGATGGAGGGAAAAAGGACCTCTGCTACGGACCCAAATACTTTATGCGTTTCAGCCAGTAACAATGCCGGCTTATTTTAACTTCAAATTTGAAATTGCCGCCTACTTCTTTTTGTGATGTTATCTGTGGTTACACCAATCCGAATCTGTTTCAACAGCTGTTTCACTTCCACAACATGGCTTCCACAACAATCTGATATTATATGGAAAATGTGCAGAGATGAACAAGGAGGTTAGGCTTGCGCCTACTGAGTTTGTGTACAAAATTAAACCACTGGAGCTGAGAAAGTATGTACAGAAGTTCGTTGAAATAATTACAATTGACGGCGAGAAACTTTCGGGTACAGTATATACTATTGATCCTGTTTCTGAAAGGTAAACCACTTTCGTTTTGTGCATTTTATATCTATGGTAAACCTACCCCCTGCGTCGCTATTAAGACACCACAGGTGTATTCATTACATGTGGAGCAATTTTATGATCTCACGAATGTTAAGAATTGTGATTTATTACAGTTGCATAGGTTCTAGTTTTCATACCCATTTTTGTTTCAGTGTTGTGCTTATAACACAGAAGAATGGAAACACCTGTATGGATATTGTAATGGGACATGCAGTCAAATCTCTTGTCATAAGTTCGTCTAATGTTTGTACTGACCCTCAAGAAATATTCCCATCAGTTTCCATTAATATCAGTAAAGAAGAAGTAGAGCTGAGGAAACAAAAATTAAAAAGTTGGCTATGTCAGAATAGAATTCCAGTTGAAGAAGATGGTGAACTTCTGCGACTTAAAGACGCTTTACAGATTCATCCTCCATATGGCAAGGACCAGTGCTTGAGTGGAAATGAAATTATATTGGGAAGAGTGCAAGATCTTATTGGTACAATGCCTGATACTGGAGATATGTAACTGTATAAACTGTTGAAGCATTTGAAATGCCATTAAATTCAACCAAATATTGTTGATTCTAATTTTACATAATGGTTTTCTCTCCTAGTGGACATTCTTCATTTATGCTAAATTCAGGATGCTCCATGGATCATGGGAATATCCTAAATCTTTGTTTGATTTCTGTGTTGTCCATTACCGAAAGTGTACGAGACTATTTTCAAGAGAAGGACTTGTATGTGTGTTATGGGGCTGTTACTTGTGCGTGGTGAATGGTGCAAGAAACTTTCAGAGTTCATTTCATTTCTGGTATTGTGCTTGTTTACTGTCTCATTGGTGTTGGAAACTGAGAAGAATGCTGCAGAACTACCATGTTTCTTGTACTGTGGACATCAGTTTTATAGAAGGGAAATAACACCTGAATTGATGGATACCACAGAAGGGACATTTGTAATGCACAATGTGTCAAATAAGGGAGGGGAATATACATTACCAGATATAACATCAGCCCCTGCCCTCCCGCCCCGTAAAGTCTCCCGGTCACAACCTAATTCAGATGAGGTTGAGTTGGAAGCAGAAAGGAAGGAGAGACTACCTGACAGTATGCCAGCCCCTGCATTGCCTCCACGTAAGGTCTCCTGCCCTCATCCTCCTACACAACCAGTTGAATTGGAGCCAGAGAAAGATAAGACCACTAGTGAGCTCCCCCAGTCACTTCAGGATGCAGAATGGTATTGGGGTAACATTACACGGGAAGAGGTGAATGAAAAGTTGATGGATACGCCAGATGGCACGTTTCTGGTACGCAATGCTTCTAACAAAGGTGGAGAGTATACATTAACACTCCGTAAAGGAGGCACAAATAAGCTGATCAAGATCAGTCACCGTAATGGCAAATATGGTTTCTCTGAACCATTCAAATTCACTTCTGTTGTGGAGCTCGTAAACCATTATCGAACCACATCACTGGCACAGTACAATTCAACTTTAGATATAAAACTTATGTATCCAGTGTCACACCTGCAACAAGATGATGAGATTCCAAGCATGACTGATGTGAGCAATGTAGCACAGAAACTGGTGGAAATCAATAAGGAGTACCTGTCCAAAACCAAGACGTATGATGATTACTCAGAAGATTTCATGAATTCATCACAAGATATTCAGCTGAAACATCAAGCCTTAGATGCCTTCAGAGGAGCTGTGGCCATGTTTGAGGAACAGATACGGATTCAAGAAAGGTATCAACGTGAAGCACAGCCCCATGAAATTAAGAGTTTGGAAGAAAATTCAGATGTGCTCAAGCAACGTTTGCAGTGCTTGGAGGAGAGCCGCAGACAGTTGGAAGAGAATTTAAAACAAGAGAGAGCTTATAACCGCTCACTAGAACGTGAGATGCACTCTCTAAAGCCTGACATTATTCAGTTATTCAAGCAGCGAGAACGTCACCAGGCATGGCTCAAATCACGGGGGGTGAAGCATCATCGCATTTCTCAGTTCCTGGCCACAGATGGATCTACTCCATGGGCTTTTGATGACCTGGACCAAGATGATGAAGATCTTGACAACCTGCCACATCAGGATGAGAGAACATGGCTGCTACCAGATTGTTCACGCACAGAAGCAGAACGTTTGCTGTTTGGTCAACCTGATGGCACATTTTTGGTTCGCCCCAGTCGCACTGGACAATATGCCCTGTCCATAACTTGCAATGGCACCACAAATCATTGCATAATTTATAAAACAGAACGTGGCTATGGGTTTGCTGAACCTTACAACATATATGAATCGCTCAAGTTACTGGTGCTTCATTATGCACAGAATTCTCTGGAAGAACATAATGATTCCTTGAATACAACACTAGTTTTCCCAGTATTTGCTCATGCATATACACAGGAGGTGACTCAAGCGGCTAGAATGTTTGGTTATGTGATGAATGTGGTATAGAAGTTTGGTTTTATTTTGTGTTTGGTCCCATGATTAAGGTACCAAAGTGTGGTTGTGGCTAGTAGTTGTCTTGACCAAATGACTTTAAGTAAGGAGGATTGTCTCACAATAATTATTCAGCCATGAACTTGTCTACTCTTTTAAATTTTTCAGTCATTATTGACTATGTGGTTCTTAGTTACAGATATTTATAAAACTGTCGGGCCTAAGTTTTAAAATAGATGTACTTTTTAATTTGCCCCTCACAGCGTTTGTATAACAATTGCACACATTGGCTAAGCAGTTCTTAAGTTAGAAGAATACCTTTTTATTTTATTGAGAATGTTGGGAGTAGCAGTAATATTTAAGAATGTATTTGGGAAATGTTCAGTTCAAATCTTGATAGAAGTTCTTCGTTGTGTCCATACAAGTCATGATAGTACTTTGAATTTGATCATGACCGCTTCCTTCCACTTCTTTACCTGCTCGCAGTACACGATTATCTCCCCAGTACTTTTGATAATATATAACCTCCGCAGTTAATATGTAACACAATCAATCTGTTATCTTGTTGCATTCCTTTACTGACAAACCACATAATGAAGTACAAACAGAGCTGGTAAATACTTCATGGAAATGGATATTTTTTTTAAGTATATTAGATTTCAGAATTGTTGCCAGTTAAGTCAGAAGAAATCTGTTAGAATTAATATCCACATAACTAGCAGTGAAAGATTGTGACATCCTTTTTATTTATTAAACTTCCTTTATTTCTTCCACCCAGTGGCTGAAGTGCAATTTTCTTTCCTCCATCACAGAATTTTATAGATCCAAAACCCTTTTATTGAAATTAGAATTGCAGTCCAATAAGTAAAACTTGGAGCTTGTACACCTAGAGTGGCAAGCAGTCGCTAAAGGGTTGCGATCCAAACATACCATGAATATGAAAATGACTTGTTTTCTAGACGTTTCACTGTAGTGTTGTAGACACTTACTGAGTGATGAGTTGCCTTGATTATGGAGGCAGTAAGCGCCTCTGACACATCAGTCAGTTTCTGGGAGACTACATAATAGAACATTCCAGAAGACATTCATCTTCATACTTATACCATAAGAACCTGAAATCTTATCTACTCAAATGAATAAGCAGCAAATCACAAGAAAGGTTTAAAAAGGAACACTTTCAATAAAAGGAAAATGAGCTGGGTAAGATTTCTTGTTTTGAACCCAATGCTGCTATTGAATATGATTACAGATTAACAATCTGTTACTGCTTCTATAATCTCTGTACCTTGAGATGTCATAAAAATATCAAGATTTATCTAAGATGGCTGGGGCTTTATTGAATAGTTGATGGTTATTTAGGTGCACAAGAAATTCACTGTTATGGAACCCAGAAGTTCATTTGTACATGTTAGACCATATCTTGAGCCAGTTCAATCCATTTAACATCTGGGAATAGATTTTTGTGAGATATCCCACACAAAATTGAGTACATATTAATAAAACATGTCCTGCCCATTTAATCCTTTCTTGTTCAATCACCATGACAATATTAGATGAAGTGCATAAGTTCTGGATTATTTTCTCCAGCTGTCAGATGAAAATATCTCCTCAGAAGTTTTATTCTGAAACAACTTCAGTCTTTGTTAAAGAGCACTACATAAACAGAAGTAGTGGAATGAAGATATGCTATTGCATAGCATTAGTAGTACTAACATCTGATATATGATCCAGTGTGGTGATAAGTTTTGTTGTTGGGAATTTCATAATACTAATGCACTGCAGACAGGAATTAGTGATTCTCCCATTTATTGGGACTACTTTAATCAATTAACAGTTGTTCTTTTAACACATAATTTCATATCTTGTAGATGATTAGTTTTTGTATATGCTGAGAAAACCAAGTGTAATAGCATTTTTCATTTTGTATGAAGAGTACCTTCTAAAGACAATGTGCAATCTTGACAGCGTATTTCAGTAATTCTTACCGTGTGATGGACAGATTTAAAATCTGTTGTTTGATTTAAATGGCAGAAAAGGTGTGACTACAAATGATACCAAGAAAAAACATGAAGTCAACAAGTGGAATGATAAGCTTAGATTAATTTTTGACAATGTCTGTCTTAAAAAAAGTATTTACTCATCAAATGTATGATCATCAACTTCAATTATTTCTTTTTGAATTATCCTGTCAAATGCAACTTTTATGTTCTTAAAATAGGTTTTTTTGAATTACATTACCTTCATTTTATGCTTCCTAAACCAGGTCTTCCCCTGTTCAAATATTTGTAAGATTTGTATATGTATATTTCCTTATTTAAAATCATAGCTTTATAGTGTTTAATACTAGAGTGTGCAGCAATTTTAAACATTACCATTCTATTGGCCATATTGTACACTGTTGCTAATGAACCTTTCAGTTCCATAACAAGTGGGGAATTTCTTAACTGGTTAAACATCTGATCAGCTTCTCCACACAGTTAGATACACTTTCATTTGTTTTATGGTGCTTTCCTTTGTAATGCCTTAAAGTGTTTATGAGGGTTAGGATCATATTTCAAAAAATGGTATTTGTGCACTTATGAGCTTTAGTCAAGGTCCCAAGTGTATGGTAAGCATAACAGTAAGAAAGCAGGAGAAAAATACATACTATGTAGCTAATCCATCAATATACACTCAATCTGTCTTTATTTTATATAACATTAGTCACTTCCTCTCCATTGGGTCCAACATATTTGTTCGGCGCTTAAAAAAATTCATGTAACAACCATATATCGCAAGTAATGTTGAATAAGTCTGTTCACAAAACAGAACAAAATGCTGTATTGATTTTTATTTTAGTTGTATAGTTTTGTAATTTCAAGTCAATTGTTGATAACAAATGTTTAATAATTTTGTAAATATAAATATTAATGAATTGTTATTTTTGTAGTAACAATGTCCCTCCTATTTATGTTTAACATTGTATATTTAAAATAAAAAAGTTTGTACTGTAGAAAGGTTAAGAGGACTTCGGAGAAATTCATATTACATGTCAGTAGATTTGACAGGATTCCTCTTCACTATGCCACGATGTGCCATTGAGATTCAATTCTTGGGACATGATAAATATATTGTCTTATGTATACTTTGGACAAAATGAAATAATATGTGATATAAATGGCAAATTCTTGAAGAGCAAATGTAGTTCATGTAATTAAAAATGTACAACTGTAGGCTCAAAAATGGCTTTATGTATGGTTATTTTTATATGACAAATTTTAATTGAAACCATTCTGTTTTTAATACCCTGTGTAACAAAATGGAAAACTATTACCCTGGTTAAGTTTAACATCTGGTAAATGAATAAATGAAGATAATTTATATTTTATATTTTAGATATCTGCTGGTGTATGATTTGGGTGTACAGTTTGTAAAAATATGTTATAGATTGTTTTTTATAAGTATTATGTACCCAAAATGAGTTTGACATTCCTCACTTTTAAGACCATCTTTCTTCAAAGATAATGGGCAGTCATGCTGTGGCCTTTCATATGTAATTTGGTTAGACAATGTCCAAAACGTTATTAATATATTTACTGTCACATATTTAAATGCTAGTTTAATCTTATGGGCCAAACATCCAAGACAAGTATTTTTAGTTAGAGAAACAAGTGCTCTTGTTGAATATGTGTAACAGAAAGTATGTATTTTGTCCTCAAAGTTTGTACTGTTATCTGCAAAGGATTTGTGGCAGTCCAGTGATGCATGTTGGGGGAAACATTTCAAGCAATTTTGGGAGAACATGTGCTGTTATGATACTTTCTCAAACAGCAGTAGTTTAATGACGGGAAGGATATTATAATAGTCTGTTTTATCCTAGCAGGCTGGCTGGCCTCTGGGGAAGGATCAAACCCTGGACCCCTTGAATATAAAGTAGGAGTTATAACCACTGAACTATGTTCAGTTTATTAGTGAACATGCCAAAAGCAGGATATTAAAATACGAACAGAACGAAAGGGGTATCAAATTAAAAGTTGGGTGGTGAGTGTATTATGAAATTTACCCAGATTGGACCATACTAACATGATTTAGCAGTGTCTCACACATTTTCATAAGTTTTGGGATTAAATGAGCATTTCTGGTCCATTAATGCATTTTACTACCAAATTGCAGGACTGATACATCTCTTTATACATGACTGTGACTGTGCCAGTAATTTTAATGTGACAATTGAATAAATACAAATATAATACTAAATTATATATTTAGCAACATTTCCCACCTCTATGCATATGAAGGTGATCATAGTAATACCAAACCATCTAACCTTATGTTATCAATTACCTGCACCTTACTCATAATACTGGGAGGATTTTGGACAGCTACACCATGGCATGGCCTTTGCACTATATATGAAGATTGCATTGGTTGCTGCCTTTTCTAATTGGTCAGCTGCAGTATTCTAGATAAAGTTTACTAACCTGTGTTACAGGAAATATACTCAACTCTGGGAAATTTTCTTCAGAATTTCACCTGACTCATGCAGCAACTTACACTTCTGTTGCACCTTAAAAGTTTAAAAAATAAGGCACTGTCATATATAGATACTTGCAAATGAGGGTTCTGTCCCACACGTCCTGTCACATACATACCACTGTCATATGGCATCCTTTACATTCTGTGACGTGTTTGGAAAGTTGATGAGTCAGAAGTAAGGTAAAGACTGAACCTCTGCCCCAATGACATGGACTGTACTTATAATTGAGATTTGAGAGTTTTCACTGCAGTGAAGATGTAAATTATTGGTCTTCTGAATTGTTAACAATGTATTAACTTGTTGGTAGATACCAGAATTTTTAAGGAACATACTGCCTCTATGATTACATTACTGTCATAATTAGTTAAAGATAAATTTTGGGAGAGCTCATAATAAGATAATTCTGGATAATTAATGCAAACTCCTCCACTGGCCCAGTTAATAGAGACTATACTGCACCTGTTTGTTCCCAACTGAAAATGCACTAGACATTCT